GCCCTTAAACTACGTTACGAATGCCCTTAGTCTTCGTAGCACCTTTCTACTTAGTAGTAGCTTTCCGGATCCGATTTATATCGGTAATAGCGGTAACGGGAAGACTATTCCTAAGCGGTGTATCCTAGCTACGAGTATAGGCAAGGGTATCTATAACTATAGCCGCCTCGTAGTCGCTAAAATCTAGCTCTTTATCGGCCTCCTCGACTATACCTAGATCGTAGGGCCTTTAGTATAGCATAACCCGCCTAGTAGTAGTAGGGGTAGCAGTAGGGGTAGGAAGGCCGTTTCGCGTATCGTTTAAAGCGATCCCTCTGTAGGGGTTTCCCGGAGACCTTAAAGGTAGAGGGGGAAGAGTAGAAGGAATTATCGGAGCTAGGGCTTAAGGAGTCGGAACTCGAGGGCCTAGTTAAGCTATAGTACTAGGGGCTACAGTTCGCCTTAGTTACTAAGAAGGATAGTTAAATTGTTTTCGAAGGGCTTCTATTCTAAATTTAGGTAGGAAAACAATCTCTTACTAGTAATAGGCCTCGAGGAGAGGAAGTATAATAGCGAGCTTTAGGAGGGTAGGACTATTACGGAAGCGGAATAGGGTAGCGTATAGTATACCTAGGGGCCCGAAGTACTACGTACGGTCCCGAATATAGCAGAACCCTTAGTCTTATATATACCGGTAGGGCCTATAGTTTAGACGAAGGTAGCCTTTAGCTCCGTAATAGTAATAGCGACCCTCTATACTAGGGATAGATTGAAAGGCAAAGGCGTCGAAGGTTAGCCCTTATATAAACTAGTTGTTATATATCTAAGTTGTAGGGGTATTGTCGCTCTAGAGGGGATAGAGGCGCTATAGGGTATACGAATCGGTATTAGTGTTAACCGGACCTATAGTAGGGCCCTTCTAATTGTCTCGGGAGAGGACGTAAAGTTTTAGTTCTTAGAACTGCTTAATAAGGTCGTCGATACCGGGGTCCGTAACTAGCTTAAGGGCTACCCCCTATCGCTAGATATCTAGGGTAGGGCGTATACTTAGCATTCTTTTCTTAACTGTCTCTCGCAGCTCTTTTAAATAGCTACTATCGTTACTAGTAAGGAGCGAGAAGCCCTATCGGCTACGAGCTAGGTCGTACCTAGTACGATAAATCTATTTGAAGTCGGTATAGGATTCCTTATCGTAAGGGTAGATGCTACATTTTTCGTAGATCCGAGGCATAATAGCAGGTATAGAGCCTCCTAAGCCCTTTAGAAACAGACGGCTCCTCGTAATATTGTTAAGAAGCCTCCTCGGTATCCCTTTAGCGATGCTATAGAAGTCCTAGTAAAAGCGAAGGGTATTACTCTTAGCCGTTTGTCTAGTATATAGCTCTTTAAGGTATTCGCGGGAGTTTAGCCGAACCGCGACATCCTAGTTAGCAAACTCGCGTTTAAACTTCTTTAAGAAGGCTTCCTACGTAAGAGGCTTACTATCTAGGAGCCGAGCAACTCGGGGTCGGATACTAGTTTCACAATTAGCTATAAGGAGCTTTACCGTAGTAGCCGTTTTAGCCCTTAGACAGTATCGCTTAAGGATAGTAGAAAACCTTTTAACAAAGTTAGTAGCGTTTTCTCTAGTAAAGAGGGGGTTCTTAACGGTCCCTAGGAGGGATATCTACGGCTTTAAGTCCGAGAAGGCCTAAAGAAGGCCTTAGAGAAGTTAAGGGGACAGCCCTCCGGTTGCCTAGACAAGCTACTAGGGAACTTCTTAAGTACCGCCCTCCTAGGTAGTGCCTCCTTAAGCCGCTTCTCTATGCTCTATACTAGTATCCTTATCGCTTCCCGAGGCCGTAGTCCTCTCGGCATTAGAGTTAGTATCGAGGTAGTTGCGAATAAAGTTTAGAGGTAGGTCTCGGTAGGTACCGGCATTAGAGAGGGCCTATAAAGGCGGTTTAGCCGGGGTAGGGTTGTTATTGTTTTCTTAGGAGCTTATCTCGTCGGTAGAACAAACAATTTATAGAAGACGATAAACGATTAGAATAAATAGGAAGGATACAGTATCGATAAAATTAGATAGGTTGCTAGGTATACTTAAGGTAAGGAGGGAGCGTAGACGGGCTATAGCGTACTTTATAGTACGTATCGCGTCTGTGTCCTCGAAGTAAGGGGAGGGTAGGCGGTAGTCCGTATATATATAGAATAAAGGGGGCGGCGAATATTACCTAGCTAGCTAGCTAGTATACCTACTATACCCGTTCTAGGCCCCCTTTATTCCTCTCTTATTAATTTCTATTAACTCGCAGTATGTCGATTACGGCACCGCGGAAGGGTCGTAATAGTCCGGAAGGAGGTTTTAAGTTAGGCTCGCGCCGATTAGTAGAAGGGATAGGGGGCTATCGACCTTTCGGGGTTCTTCGTATCCCTATCTCTAGTTTCTTATAGCGGGCTCTTAGGTTTCTTTCTGTATAGGTCGTTTCTTATAAGGTCCCGCCTGCTATAGATAGGTAGGGAGTCGTAATATTCGTAAACAGTATTTCCTTTTGCTTTAAGTCGGTAACGGTATTCCTTTTTCTTTAAGTCGGTAACGGTTTATTAGTAGTAGGACGTCTCGATACTACTAAGGTCTTTTTTAGCGGTAGCATTACATTAGTAGTATAGTCCTCGCTCTAGGCGAAGGCTATAAACGTTTCTTCTTAACTATATATATACCTGTACCTTTAAATGAATAAAGATAGCCCTACCTTCGGCTCTAGAAAATGTAGGCGGGACGAGTAGGTCGTAGGTAGAGGTACATATATAGGGAACTGTATACTATAGGCCTAGTACTTAGTGTCTCTTAGGTAACTGCGAGGGGTCGGCGTAGTATTATATACTTCGAAGGGGAGGCGCTATAAATATTAAAGAGAAGAGAATAGCCGTAGGGAGGGCTACATTGTAGCTAGATTAGGTACATTTCCTATGTCCTTCTTGCTGTATATATTGTCGTAGCTATGCCTCCTTGTATAGTGTATATATATGTGTAAAGGTAGTTGTGTCTTCTAGGGTACAAAAGCAAGGAGAGGGGATACAAGTATATACACAAGTGCTAAGCCGGGTTTCCCTACTACACTATTTATATATCTTCCTTCTCTATTATCCTCTATTAGCTTAACTATAAGGAGAGGAAGCTAAGCCTACTAGTATAGGTATCTCCCTACTTTCTTATACTCGTAGTACCTATTAGTCTCCCTAGGGATCTTCTCTCTTAGGTATCCTAATAGGTCTCTCTCCTCTACTTTTCTAGAGATTCGGCTCGCCTCTTCCTACTTTATACTAGCGTCTAGTCTTCTTAGCTCCTCTATATCCCTCTAAACTTCTCTACTATTACGTTCCTAAATCCTCTTCTCTTTACTTAGGTAGCTTGCCTTATACTATATATCTTAGACTAGGTAGGGTAGCTACCTTTATAGTTACTATATATATGTTTACTACTAAGGCATTTGTCTATTCTATATTCCTCTATATATCTTCTATAGCTCTAGCTCTTATTATAGTATTTAGTAATATATCTAAACCTCTAGCATTTAAGGTACTATACTACCCTTTATTACTAGGTAAAGGATTCTACTAGGAGGATAGTTCCTTAGACTAGTAGTCCCTCCCCTATAATTTCTTCTATCTAGCTAGCGCTCTATATATAGATTACTATTAAGGAGTATATTTGTCCTTCCCTAGCCTTAGGGCTCTTTAGCTAGAAGGCTCTTCCTCCTTTTAGGTTAGGGTACTATCTAGTATTATCTTCCGAGAATCTTTCTATAGTTTCCTTCCTTTTAGGGCTATAGTCTCTTATATATAGACTAGTATCTAGTAGGCTACCTATAATATCTCTCCTCCTAGGAATATCTCCTATATCTATTCTCTACTCTCCTAGAGCTAGGCTTTTACTATTTATAATATTACAAATATAGTAATATCTCTACTAGGTTGTTTCCTACCCCTAGTTGCTCTAGGGTCTCCTATCTCCTTTAGGAGTTCTATATTACTCTTATTAAGAGTCTTTTCCTCGTTTAAGGTATCCTCTACTCTTATATATACTATATATGCCTCCTATAGTAGGGATCTAGTCTAGGGAAAGGGAGGGAGGGTAGCTAGCCTAACGGGCAATTTATGCCTAAGATACTAGCTACTAGCCCCTATCGGAAGGTTTCTATTTCGTAGGCAGTTACTAAGGTCTTTAATTAACTATACTATTACCGCTTTCTATTAGTAGTAGAGGATTATAGTAATATATCTCTAGAGGAGGGAGAAGACTTAGAAGAGGAGGGACTCCTATTTATTAGCTAGGCTCCTAGGATAAGAGATAGCGGCCTGTATTTCTTAGACTAAAGAGTTTATACTCTCTTATATCTAGTAGTTCTCTTTTTCTAATTAAATGCCTACCCTAGCCTAGCTCCCTCCTAGGGTAGGTTAGGGCCTTCTTTAGCTAGAGGTACTAGCTAGTAGAAGCTAGGGACTTCTAACTCCTTTATACCTCTTAGTAGTATCCTAGATCTTCGCGAGTCTGTCTAGATAGACTCTAGTATACTAAGATACCTAGAGGCCTTCTTATAGTACTATCGTTTTTTCTCCTATAATATATAGTAAGTTATATTATATTTTTAAATAAGGAGAGCCTACAAATTAAAAAGAATCTCTTAACAATTATATTTCTTATAAATATATAGCTAGTTTTAATTACTAGTTAGTTCTATTTACTATACTAGTTTAGAAAAAAGAGTAGTAGAAACTTAGTAAATATATAGAAGAGGGAATTTTGTTAAATACATAGAGTACTAGAACGTGCAGTCTAGCATAGCTTCTTAAACAGCACAAGACGCTAACAGCAAGATTTTAAAGTCTAGGGTTGTAGTAAATATGTATCGACACGCTAGTACTGACAAATCGATCCTGCGAGCAATCCACCGAAACATCGTTCTCCTTATTTGCAACTACCAAATCATAGTCTCATTGTAATAGCCGATCTCAACACCTTCTTCGCCTGGAATCTTGACTACAGCAGCGCGGCAGGCGTCAGAGAATTGCGGAGTGCCGCATGTAACAATTGCCATACTCTTCTTCGCGATCTGTCTGTGCTCTCGCATGACTGTTTGAGCGTCAGGGCGTCCGAAACGGATCTCATATGGAGGTCGCGCTGGGAGCTTTTCAGCATTCTGTGCTTCCTCCTCAGCAGCCGACGTGAGATACACAGTCATATAAACACGATCTGTATGGATGACCGACGCCAGTTCATTCGCGCAAATGTCGTCTGGGAGGTGTCGTTGAGGCACAGCCCAAGCAATATGGACCTTGGTGTGGTTGTTATCGGCCACCAAGAAGTGAGCATGCGAGATTGCAGCGGTGATACCCGAACCTCCACACAGCACAAGCACATCCGAGTAGCCCGAAAGATCCAGCTTTTCTCCATACGGACCCTCGAGAAAGACTGTGACTTGTGCAGATGCTACTGATTCGTTCGTTGCAAAAAGTCGGTTCTGAAGGCGACCGGTCATTCCCCCGTATGGGCGAATGAGAAAAGTGTGGGCCAGTTCACCGGAAGCAGATGTCTCAAAGACTGGACGAATATTTGTTCCAAATTCCTTGGCCATAATGGATTGTCTCGGCGAAGGGGGCTCAGAGGAACCTGGTCGTCGCCAAGAGCACACTGTGAATGGATGACTCTCATAGCCTCGCAGACCGACGGGCATATATAAGTAATAGTATAGTCCAGGTACAACCGGCTTGTTTGGCATGAAGTCAGTGATGTCCAAGCGAGCCATATCGGTGGTCCGATGGTATGTGGCAACAGCTTCGACGCCCTTGGTGAAGCGTGGCATAACCGAGATGAAGACTGTTCGACCGAATCGCAGCAGGCGATCGAGAACCCAGATGGCGATGCATGGGTAGAGGTAGTAATTGAATTCCCCACTGAAAATCTTGACGTGGTACCAAAGAGTCACGAAGAAGATCAGGGACATCCAGATGTGGACCATCAAAAACAAATCGTAAAAGTGTTCGCGGAAGCAGTATGCAGAGGCACCAAGCATTAGCGCCATGGTGATTGTAGCGATGCCGCCACAGTACCAGTACTCTTCAGCCCACGATGACTGGTAGGAAGACGCATCTCCGGTCGAGTAGAAATCAAAGACGGTGTAGGCGATGGAGTGGATGATTGCGTGGACGACAGCAATCCTAGCAATCCAACGATGAAAGAGATTGTACGTCGCAAAAGACCAGCCTGTAAGCCACATAAACGGATCATTGCGAGCCGCAAAAACCCAGACCATAGGCAATTGCGCGATTGATAGAAAGCCGGTGCGATCAGCAACATATCTTGCAAGCTGGAGCTTGTAGGTAGGATAACTGGCAGCGTCAGCGACGAACATCGAGTGGACGGGATGAACAGCGACTCACTATTGGTTGCCAATGAAGAGATTGTATCCTGGGAAGCACATGATGAAGTTCATAACCACGTAAAGCGCCAGAATGACGCTCTCAAGTCTTGGAGGAATGGTGAAAGAGCGAGCCACCGCCTCCGACTGGTGCTTGCGGAAAGTAGGGGGCAAGATCAGACTCTTGCGGATCCAAAGCCACCAGCGTGATTGTGGAGCACCCCGTGGCTTCTTCATGACTGTAATCGTGCGGTGACCAATTCCAAGCGCAATGACAAGGCCCCAGAATGCGAGCATGGCGAAGGAGAAGTCAAAGTCTATGTTCCACGTTGCGTAGAACTCTTTGACTGTCTTCTCGCCCAATGCTTGCCAGTCAGAATCGGGAATGGCTGGGGTGTTGAGTGGTACATTTGCAGTTGCAAGGGCAGCTGTGGCGTTCAAGACCAACACTTGATTGAGTTCTGCCTCGGAAAGAAGATAGTCTTGGATGGTAGGCAGTGGAAAGCCAGCATTTTCTTCGCACGAAGGACTCAGAAGATTACGTCCAGACTGTGCTTGTTCGGGAGTGCAATATCTCTGGGCGCAGTAGAAGATGGATTTGATCTTGGGCGTGTTGGAGCACTCATCCAAGTAGTAGGCGCCTGGATCCGCCGAGGCTGGCGTGACATTGAAATAAATCGAATCGACAGCACTGTAGCATCCATAGAAACTTGAAGAGTGTATGTATAGGCTATCACGTGCATGATGCCTGAGGCTGCAACTGTGCACACTTTATCTTTAGGCTTTCTGTAATTAGCCCTTCTTCTAACAACCGAGCTAGAGTAATAGCCTCCTTCGCACTAGTTGTTAACTAAATATACTCGGCTTCTATAGACGATAGTATAACAAGTGTCTAGCGGCCGGACTTATATAATAGAGGTCCGCCGGTAATAGTAAAGTAGAAGCCTCCTATAGAGCGACGAGTAACCGGATTATTAGCCTAGGAAGCGTTATAGTATCTAACAAAGTTAAGCTCGTTTTTATTCTATATTCCTCGGAAGTATAAGCTACGGCTAAGAGTGCTAACTAGGTACTTAATAAGCTAAAGAAGTGCGGTATAATACTCCTTAGTTAGGTTAGAAATATATCGTAATAGTAGGCCTATAGTATAGCAAGCATTAGGTCGTATAATTATAGCTAGCTATAGTGCTTTACTAACACCTTCCTAATACTAAGTCTTAAAGGCAGCGCTAGTAGTATAGCCCTTAGGTATACGCTAAATCGATATCTTAACGTATCGAGGCGCTATTAGCGTAGCCGGTACTATACGGCCCTATATGCTATACTTCTTACTAAGCCTATTTAAATAGGTATCTTAAACAACGTAAATAGTGCGCTAGTTGCGGTTACGAATAATCCGTATACCGAGATAGTAGTATAGGTTACCTAGTTCTCGTATATTAAAGCGGTCCTTTAGCAACTAAGCGACTGCTTCTAGTGCTAATAGGGTATAGGCGATAATAATTATATTATCTACGTAGATAATAATAATAGAGCCGCTAACAACGTGTTTAAATACATATATATTAGCTATTATTAGTATAAAGTCTAGGCTCTTTAAGTACTTTCGAAGCTCTTCGTACTATAGCATTAGTAACTGCTTTAGACTATATAGTGCCTTTAGCAATAGACAGACTATAGCCTTGCTACTACGGTCTTTAAAGCTATATAGTTGCTCGACGTAGATCTTATACTTATTACTAATAAGCGTATTAAGGAAGGCCGTTAGGATGTTATATTACTTAGCCTCTAGGTCGTAATAAGCGATTAGGCCAAATAGTGCTCGTAGCGTAGACGGCTTAGCTATAGCCGTATAGGTCTTATTATAGTCCTATCCCTTAACCTATATAAAACTACGGACGACCTAACGAGCCTTAAACCGGCTTATATTACTATTAGCGTCTCGCTTAATAGTAAAGACCTATCGGCTACAGACAACCTTGCGACCTCTAGGCACTTCTAGTCGAGAAACATATACCTATATATAGTTGTCTATTAATAACTTGTATTTAGCCTTATAGGCCTCCTACTATTATAGCTAATATAGCGACTCCTTAGCGGCCTTAAAGCTCTTCGGAATTAGAATGTCGTTATTCGGGATCTATTTAGCAATATAGCAGGCGGCTATAAAACCCTTTATATAGGCTATCGGTATATTAGTAAGGTTGCGGCGCTCTTTACGGTAGGCGCTAGTGTTAGCTAGATAACTACGTAATAGTTTACGAGCGCTCTTATTGCTTCGTATCTTACGTATAGAACGATCGCCTATCTTAGTTAGCCGCTCAAACTCTAGCAACTAGCTAGGCTCGCCTTTCTTAGCTTATAGATTATATATAGGCTGTTCCTTAGCTAATTAGAAACTATCCTTATTACTTAAAGGAGGTTAAATAGCTAGTAGGTTATCCTCGAGTAGTAATAGATTAGCGACCTTATTAGCTACCTCTATATCCTAAGTAGGTTCTTCTAGAGCATCTTCCTATTAAGCTAGAATATGCTAGACTATACTAATAGCCTCTACCGGCGGTAGTGCCTCGTTAGTTATAGAATTGAATAGAGCCGGTATAATAGACTCGAGTATAACAAACTCGTTCTCCGCTAGGTTATTAGAGTTAGTATATAGTACTATACTCTTAGGAAGCAACAGCTTACTAGCTATTTTAATAAACTAGATATCCTTTAATAGAATAACCTTATACTAGTTAGGAAGGTAAATTATATATTTTCCTAAGTCTATAGAGTCCTTAGTATAGCTAACTAGCTTGCTAATAAGGCCTCTACTATCTATTTTTTTTCTACGAGTTACTCCGTAATCGTATATAATAGTAGTATAGCTATAGGCACGAAGATATTAAAGGCGTAGCTGCTTTCGAGACCAATTAAGCTCCCTAGCTATAATAGTATAGGGGCTAAGACCTTCTAAGGTTCTAGGAGTGATATTAAGAACCTATATAGTAGTAGTAACTATATACGGCTATAGGGCCTTTAGCAAATTAGTATAGAGCACTATCTTCCGAGCGGTCGTATATACGATATAATTACTAACTTTAGCTAGGCTATTCTAAGTAGAAGAATAAGGTGCTATAACCTATAGTATAATGCCCTAATTACGAGCCTAGCTTAACAGCTAAGTTCCGCCGTATTTACCTCCTCTATCGAGGCGATAGATTAGGATCGAATAGCTAGTTTATATACGGACGTATATACGATAGTCCTTAATAGCTACTACAGCCCCTAACTTTAGTAAGCTAGTATACTCGTATCGATAGGCTAACTTAGCGCATATAAACAACGTAAAATAGCGTTCTTGTAGTAGACTAGGATTAGTAATAGTAACTACATCTATATAGACAATATAGTAAATAGTAGATAGTCGTAGGCGTAGCAGTCGATTATATTCCTTATATAACGTCGCTATACGATAAGTAATGCAGTTTCGGAAGTCGTCCTTGTTTCTAGTAATAACAATCTAACCCTTAGCTTCTATTCGTAATAGCTTGCGGTAATAAATATAGCTATATCGTAGATACTACTCTTCTATCGTACCTATTAGTACCCCCTTCTTTAATAGAAGTGTAACAACCTAACCCTTAGGACTAGAGGTTAGTATATACAGATAGGGGAGACTATTCTTTCGGTATATCTAAGCAATAGTAACCTTAGAGCCGTTAACGACAGTAAATAGTATACGCTTGTTATTCCGATAGAAATAGCCCTTATCGGTAAGCTTCTTAGTAGATAGGAGGTTAGCAGCTAGACCTAGTATATACAGTGTCTCTAACAACTTTATATTGCTAATACTATACTCGTTAACTACTTCTGTCTAAGCAATACCTACTATTATTACGTGCTTCGTATTGCCTCTAAATCGAATAGGGATATAGCAGCCTTTATATTTAAGTAGTAGGGCAGGATTATTAACTATATATATACTAGTACTAGAGTCTACAACCTAGTTAGTAGTACGAGTCGCTATAGTAAGCGCTATTAATGCCGCATTACTAATAGTAATCGTATTAAAGGCGTAGTTGCTACCTAAACTAGGTAACGGTACTAAATCCGGACGTAGATTGTTATAGAATAAGGGTAGCGTATTCTTAGCAAATAGGCCTTATATACTAGGCTAGGGTTGCTACTATTGCTATATAGTTAGTCTACGCTACTGCTGCTGCTATTGCTATTACTATATCCCCTTCTTCTTAGCCTTCTACTACTTACGGCGTAGTCGGTCTTCCTCCTTTAGATAAGGGTACTTGTTATAGCAGCGGTCGGAAGGATATAACCCCTAATAATAGGTGCATTTCTTACGGTTAGACTAATAACTATTCTAGTTGTTTCTACCGCGGCCTCGACCGTTATTATTATTATTTCCGCGGCTACTACGACCGCTACGGTTAGAGTTACCTCGACTATTGCTACTACTATTGCTACCTTATAGTTACTAGCGCTAAAGACTAAAGAAGCTATTATATTAGGCCTAGTTTAATTAAGCTACATTCTTATTAAGCAACGCGCTAATAATGTTATTAAGGGTACTATTATTAATAGTGTATTCCGAGGCGCGTATCTGCTTACGGCGTATCTATACGAAAGCCTCGTAGAATAGTGCGATCTGTATAATAAATATATTATATATAGACAGCCTAATATTAGCTAATAGCTAACTTAGTATCCTTTAAGGCACCGAGCTTCTTCTTATATTCGTTATAGAACTTCTCGACGTCCTTGCTATCGTAGCGAAGGGTAATATAGTCCTAGAAGAGTATGAATTTAGTAGACCTACCTTTACTAGTATACTTCTTATATAGATAATCCTATACTGCCTTAGAGGTATCGAGTCTAAGCAACAACTACTAGATCTCCGATATATAGTTAGCGAATATCCACGTACGCGCTAACTAGTCCTTTGCCTCCTATTTATCTTAGCGGTCTTTAAATTGCTCCTATATTTTAGTAGATAATAGCTTAATCTTAGGCTTTAGGCGGGTCCCTTAGATATAGCGCTATACCTATATGCCTTTAAGGGCACCCTTAGCGGCATAGGCCTATACTAGATAATTCTCCTTATTCTTTAGCTTAAGAATATTGCTTATATAAGTAGTAGAGGTTATAGGAGGAGCTATTACGGATAGCGACGGCAATAATATAGAAAGAGACTATAGACTTGTCTTAAGAGGCAGCCGATAGGCGCGCCTATATTATAGTGTAGCGGACAGCTAATACTAGTGTTATAGTAACCGACTCGAGTCGGACTAGCACCTACTAGAATACTCGAGGGTAGTTAAAAGGATAGCGGCGATAATATTAGTATTAGCGTAATTATTAGCAAAGAATGCTAGCTACGTAGTAGTCGGATTAACTATTAGAAGTGTTGAATTGCGTTAGAAACGCAGGGGGCTTATAACTACTTAAGATATAAACTGAAATTAGTTATAAGGGTACTATTAAGCCTATTACGCTATACAAGGATAATTAGTTAGTAATCGCTATTACTTAGTTAACGAGTGTCGATAGCTATACTAAGCATATAGATACTAGGGTCTACTATATTAGCAAGAAGATCGCTAATAGTACTATCGTTATTA